TGCGTCCTCTCCTCTCTTCTGAGAACTGTTGCGTAGTCGGGGACTCGAACCAGGCGGCGTGCCAGGAGTGGAGTCAGAGCATCTTCTGCCGCAGGTCCTTAGGTAGGGATTTCTGGAGTCATTGTTTGCTGGCATTCGATGCCCACTGCTAACCGTCTCTCTTGCCTTAGCTTACACAGTACACCCAGCCGGCAAAGCTGAGTCACAGTCCGTTGCAGCACGAGCCTGGCGGTGGTTGACTTGAAGTAGTAGGATGACTCACGCAGTTAAGTTCATCCAAAACATCCAAAACCCAGGAAGGAGGCCAGACGTGGCCTCGCTGAGCCGACCCAGACTTTGTACACCTGCAAATCGTCTCGAGCCCGTTGTTTCTCGGAGAGCTCGCACCTGTGCCGGCAATATCAGGTCGCAATCCACGAAGTCTCTGTTTGGATGATGCTAGACGAAACCTGAGGACTGCATGTCTATGCGTCGGTGGCTTAGGGTCGGCAGGAAGGACATTCACAAAAGGGATGCCACCGTAGCGTTTTTTCAACCGTAAAAGAAGATAAGACATGCGTTCCAGGATGCTTCAGGTGGTCCACTATTCTCGAAAATTCCAAATGACACCCCGTGGACGATCTTTAACGAGGTAACCTACAAAGAGTGTACGTATTGTCCTTTCATACAGCAGCGTGGTAAAGTTTCTCGTTCAAGGCCACACCTACAGATGAAGAATACCAGTTCATTCCACCGTCATGTCATGTGATCAATTTTGACAGGGGTTTCCTTATTGGACGGGGCTGTGGTGGCGTTTTGATGGGGTTTAGGGTGAAATATAATTTATTTAGTGGTCGAAGTCTTCTTGCATCCCACGTCAGACAGACAGGATGTCAGGGAATTGACCTCGGTCAGTCCTTGATGGAACGTATTTTTTTTTTTTTTTTTTTCTTGTGCCCATTGAAGACTCCTCGTCGTCCGAAACCACTACCTTCAAGGCTAAGTGCCAAGCCTTCGGGAGAGCTATTTCGGGATTGAAAAAAAACTTCCACTTTAAACTTCAAGCTTAATCTCAGTTGGTGTCTCAAACAAATTTGAAAAATGTATTGCAGTATCAGTATTTCTGTATTTGTATTTCTGCCCTCCCTAAAATGTATTCCTTTATTTGTATTTCCCAATACTTCTTGCCTCTATTTAAAATGTATTTGCGATACGTATCGCGATACATTTTTACAGATATATATTAGTATCAGTATTTTAGCTACTATTTTAATGTATCCCAGTATTTGTATTTCCCAATACATTTTTGAGTATTTCTGCCCAAACCTGCTTATATGTAACGATACGTTCCATTTTTTAACTGTAACGGAAACGAGTTCTTTTTACAGAAATGGAACTTATAACGGCAACGCGTTCCAAAAATCAGAAGGAACGAGAAACGAGCTTTCGTTCCTTTTTTTAGGAACGTGTACAACACTGGTTTCAGGAATGCCAGACCAATAGAAACAACGCTTTCTTAGTTCATGCAGTTTTGTGCTCCAGCGATTGAAAACAAAGGACAAGTTGATGTCATTTCTTTCGATATGACGAAAGCTCTGAATATGGTCAATAATGAATTTCTTTTACTTGAGATGTCTACATATGGAGTAGCCGAGAGGTAAACAAGTAGGTTCAGAAGTTATTTGTCGGGGCGCGAGAACTTTGTACGCATTCAAGTAGTCATGTCTGGGCCATACTTCTGGGGTGCCTCGAGGATCAAATCTTGTTCCCCTTTTATACATCTTTTTTTTTTTGCAATTATATTTTTGGCTGTATGAACTTTTCTTAGATGCTGCAGTATGCAGACAAAGTAAAAATATTCCACTAAATTAAAACCCCTTGAGATTGCTTGAAATTGCAGAGATATTAATTTGGTTAGTATGAGATGTTCGAATAATTGTCTTAAATAAAGAAAAGACCAACGTCATTACATGTAGCCAAAAAATATAGTATATACGCATTCTTACATACTGAGCATGTGTGAAGTCTGAAATTCGAGATCTCGGTGTGTTTTGGGATTCCGCCCTTCGAATGGAAGAACAGGTGAATGCTGTAATTGTTTCATCATTGAGGATGCTTGGCATGGTGGCCAGAATCACAAGGAACCTTTTAAACACGAAAACTGTAATAGCACTGTATAACGTTTTCGTTCGCTCGCATTTAGAATTTGCATCAACTGCGTGGAGTTTATTGTCTTTTTCTAGATTAGAGAGAACTGAAGGAGTGCAGAGACGTGTTCTTTGTTTGGTTTACGACCGATACCTCGTTAACAAATATTATGATGACTATAACTAGTTACTTCGTAAATTGCAAATGATCACACTTGCGAATATATATTAGGGATTTGTTATTTTTCCGCAAACTATTGAACGGCAGAGTAGCTTGCCCAGGCTTGCTAACAGACATAAGCGTATACGATCTCGCGTCTTGAGATATAATTAATTTTCTTTTTTTTCTTTTTATGTTCCTAGGCATTCAAACCTCTCGCATCTCACGAGAATGCTGCACTTGTACAATAATCTTACGTCCCCTGCAAAAGATGTCTTTATGAGTTTTAACGATTTTGAAAACATAGTGGTAGCGGAAATGACATAGGACATCTGCAATTCAATGTTGCCGTTGTACTTTCATTATTGCAGTGTTCGGATCGCTTGTTTCGTTTTGAATGTATTATGGTATACCACCGGTAGTGTGTTTAGCTGTTGGTGGACATCTTCAACTCAAGAATAAATAAATTTAAAATAAATAAATAAATAGTCTTTAAGTAGACATATGGAATTTCTACATAGTTCCCTGCATATCCGCGTATAACCCGCCGATCATCCGCGGATATGCGCAGTAAACTGGCGATGGGGATAGAAATGATTGAGATTTGGCAGATTGCGTGTCGGGGCGGATGCCAGGGACTGCGGATGCGGATCGTAAGCGGATATCCGTGGGTACGGTTCTACATTTTTATCAAGGCGGCTAATAAGCATGTACGATCGCAGAAGGCAGAGCGAATAGTACAAAGGGCATCATTGAATGTTCTGCGGGAGTAAATTACTCTCTTAGAAGGAAGGTGCCAATCGGGGGGAAAATTGTTCCTAACTCTAAGAAAGGCTTGATTGTTACAAAAGATAGCTTTAGAGCATTCTATGTCGCCAAAACTGCTGCCCCCCCCCCCCCCCCCCCCCAAAAAAAAAAAAAACAATCATTAATTATTTCGGGAAAGCATGTTCTTGTTTGGCAGGGAAAGAGCGGAATACGTTTTTCGGGCAAAGAAACCCCAAACCGTGCAAGCCACAAGAAAGTAGAAGCCTCATCGACAAGTGTTTGCGTGCGTTTTTTCTCTCAATAATTGTTAAGTTGCTACTAAGTATGTGGTTCGGAGCACACAGTCGCAGGTTCGTGTTTAAAACTGAAACCAATAAGAGGTGCCGCCATTATTGATTACTGTCATATTTTCCCAGTTGTGCACTCGTGTCTTACCAACGCATAAACGAATACTTCGGTGCGGTGGGTGACCGCATTTTCTTTCTCACTTATTGTTGGACCGAAAGGACACAACATTATTAGTCTGACCATTATTAATTTGAATGGTGCAAAAATACGCGTCTGCTCAAAGTGGGTGTCACAAAGCAAAAAAATAAATAAAGTTAAAAACAAATGTATTTTTTGAGCGCATTATTTGGGCAGAATCCAATGCTGTTTGTGTGTCCGGTTCGGGAGGAGCGCTGCGACACGCGATTTGCACAGTCACGTGATTCGATCACAGCGCTCGATTGGCTAGGACGGCTCGTCCTCTGCGGGAGAGAGTAACACAACGAGGGCATGGCCAACCCCGATCATCTCGTCTACGCTAGTCAGCCTCTCGGACAGTAACGAAAAACTTCATAATTGGCTGCGTCCTAGCCGTTATGTTTGAGCTGTTAAGGATAACGAGTACGCATCCGTTTCTAGCAAAACAAACGCCTGGAAACGAAAGAGGAAACTCAAGTATACACGTGATAAAAAAAAAAAAAAGTGAAACATATTTGCTGTTTGAGCCCGAACAGTCATATGGTGTAGAAGAAACTGCAGAAAGGTGTGCCGCTCACCAAATCCATTGAGTAAGGCGATAAAGAAAGCGGAAGAAAACAAGAAAAAACGCAGTAGAATAATGTTATAAGATGTTTCGGCTGACAGGTTGCTTCGAGTCGAATAACGAGAAGAAAATGCGCGTGAATAATTCATGGAAACGTGTACGGCCTTTCAAACAAGCCGCTGTACCACTGTGCATTCAACGAGCTAAAAAAGCGAAAATAGCACGACAAAAAAAAAAAAAAAAAAAAAAAAGAAAAAAAAAAAAAAAAACAGGGACGTTACTACTTTTTAGAAACCGCGCATACTAGCGAGAGAGAAAGAGAGCCTTGCGTACAAATAAAAAAACACTCATGAAAGGTTGGAAAAGATAGTCTTAGTGTTGTTGTTTTTTTTTTTTTTTTAGTTTGGTTTTTTGGAGCATTAATGACATCCGCCGCGACCGGATTCTCGATTATAAGGACGGAAGCTCGGCCTTTCGACGCCGCGTTGCTTATCGGTTTCAGAGATGAAAAAAAGAAGGTACCTCAAAGCAAATTCTAATTATATAAATCCTCACGTCGCCGATAAAATAGCATACAATAATCGAAAGAGACGGCGCGCTCCTGAAACATGCTTTATCTTTATGTTGTTGTTTTTTTCTTCATCCCCACCGTCCTGATTCACTTTCTTCTTTCACTTTCATCGTGCCCGCCTGTTGTTCCGAAAGCTCGCAAATTGTTCGCATTTCTGAAGGTCTGCGACGCTCTGAAAAGGACAGCCGAGTTTCTGTTTCATCAAAAAAAAAAAAAAAAAAGGACAAGAGTAAGGCTGCCCCTAATTAAAACGACCCGGCCCATTTATGGGGAATGCCTGATGGCGGCATTCCCTCTAAATATAATCTCTGGGAAAGAAACGCGAGCCGTATCTGCGATACTCACTCTTGAATGAAGACCGTCTTGTGCTGGCCGACGCACGTTAGCCGTCGACAGGGCAATTCCTGGCGTATACTTGTCCCCGTGGCTATTGTCAGGTTTTCGAAGACGCAGGAATCTGGAGAAGTTAACCGACATCATGGCTGAAGGATTTCAATAGAAAAAAAAAATGTTTACTTTCGAGTTTTCTGCGGCGTCCCAGTGGCAATTGGGCACCGTTGAAACGACTCAAACGCCAGAAAAAAAACATTCAGTTACTTCTTTTTGTGTTCCAATGACTACAGTAGGTTAATCAATTTTGATTACTGCGTTGACAAACATTCGAGTAATGCGAGAAATTAGGAATTTATTGGCGCCCTACAGAGTGGCGGGAACCCTAGAATAGTATTGCGTAATATATTGGATCTGTATTTATGTATTATTGTACCGTTTCTCGTTGCCAGAACAACACCCTTGGTCTATCCAGGGCTCTTTGATGATAACGGCGGTGTTGTCCTAGGCGTTTCAGAAATTAGATTTACTCAAAAGTTTATTCACAATTCTGGCAAGCAAAAAAAAAAAAAAAAAGAGTAATAATATTTTGTGGAACCGTAGAGGCTTTGGGCCGTCCGAAACACAAGAACCCTGAGAAAGTTATCTTTTGGGGCCACGGTTCAACAAAGCTTCCCACTTGGAACTTGAGAACGTGACTCCGCTGGTTCTAAACTTAACTCCAACGACGGAACAATTCGAACCGGCAATCCACGCGGGTGCTTAAGGCTTGGCCCCCGTCCAACTTAGTCCGCGTAGAGAAAAACCCATCTCACCGTTGACGAGCTGCATGTCGAAGTCAGCGCGGTATCCGTTCCCAATGGTCATGCAGTGGGCCATGGCGGACAGGGCGACTAGTGTCAAGACCAGACACGGCTTCGGCATCCTGGCTTCGGCGGCACGCTAACAAGCTGCGAGAGGAATCGCGTCTCCTCGCGCGTGGGCGAGTCGTTCTTATAGGAATGCGGCGCTTCAGAGTGCACACTTCCGCTCCTCCAGACCCAAGGCCGTCTGTGTCACCAGTGCTCCTGAGGATATCACGTGGCGTCTCTATCGTTCCAGTTCAAAGAGCAGGCATGAAGCGAGAGCCCTGTAAGGTTCACGACGACGCGGTCGAGCCCCACAACCCCAGAAGCTGTCGAAATGCCTTTGTGTCTGGCGTGATCGCAGACGCTGCTATTTTGTATGTGGCACAGCGTAGGTGCGTGTCTATCGGGTTGCAAGCGACCTAGTTGTAGCTCATGTTTGCGTCTGTTGGGCCTTCATTTAACATGCATCTGGTGCGATGCTGGGTAGAGAGGTTTTGTGTTTCGATCTCGACCGGTGGGAAGCACACTGTCCCATGACGACCCCGGTGTGTGCTAACGCTTCGGTTGACACGAACGTTTGTTTGGGATTCCTTACGCACCGACGAGCTCTCTGTCAGGAAGTCCCTGCTCGGGAAATGCGATAGTCCCGAAATTGTCATTGAATTATTAATAACAATGGCATTTATCTGCACGAATTATTCGCTGTCAGCCTTTAGTATCATTTCCTCCTATGTTTTGGATACCTAAGCGAATTATCCAAAATCACTTCTGAACCAGTTTCCTATCGGCAAATTTATGCGTAGCGTCTTTGAACATTATGCTTTTACTTCAAGGTGCGCTATTTTTCTATTCCTTTTTTTTTGTCAACAATAAATGGTTCTGCCTCTCGTGACAGCCTCAAACTGGCCATGAATATCAGTGACAAGTTTACCCTCAAGCGCAACAATGTGGGAGCGAACACACTCGTTTATTCGTCATTGCGGCGACATTTTACAGCCCCGTGTTGGCCAAACCTAGAGGGTGCAAAAGTAGTTCGAAATAACGTTTTGAAAGCCTTGCCACTAGAACTCAGTGGTCGAAAGCGGTAATCATGGCAGAGTTGGAATAATATATATCGCGCCTTTTCCTACCAGCATCGCCCGCGCTCTGGTTGCGCTACAAACAGCGATGTTTGTCCGTCACTGACGGACCTGTAACGCGCGCACATTCGGCTGTTCCTTTCACCATGTCGTAAAGAGCTCGAAAAGAACAAATTGCTCGGACCCACCACCACCGCAACTGCGGACACAAGACGCCCTGTCGCTGCGGTCATTGACCTTGGCACTTGAACGAACTCGAGCCACTTCCAACCCCCTGCGTTGTTCCACTTCGTACACTATAAGAGCTCGGGTGTGACTACTTTGTCGCGAAGCTCCCTCCCTCCCAAGGTGGCAGCGATTGACTCTCCCCGGGTGCATTAGGGGAAAGTAGACGCTGTAGATCTCTCAGAGCGTGCACTCTAAATAAAGCCCGTGTGTCTACTTTCCCGCACAACACTCGGAGAGCCAATCAGCGCAGCTTACGGAGGCAGCTCAGCGAATGACGACGCCGAAACATGTCTTTAGACCAAAACACGCAGTCTGAGTTGTGACATTAAGCAATGCAAAACGTCACGCTTGCATTGCTTAATGTCACAACTCAGACTGTATTTTTTATTTTTTTGCCACTCTTGAGAATTCCCTTGGCTACCCCAAAACAACTGTCTCGAGAATGCCGTTATCTGCACGCACAGCAGGAGCTCAAGGGTACGCATTGCGTGGCTTATTCGTGCATTTCTTAGCCTCGCGATTCGTTCTTATCGCCTTAATGCCATGATCTGATTGGCTGTGGAGAGAAAATGAGGCGCTCAGGACTCGCCGCGATTGGTTGTCGAGGGCTGTGCGGTCAGTGACTCTATATAGTCGCTGACAGCTAAAGGAACGCAGGATATGGCAAGTCCCGGACATCTTATCACCGCCGTGCAGCCAATGAGACTACGGCCGATAAGAACGCCGATGATCGAATCACAAAGCAAAGGGTGCGAACATCATCACGCGCCCAGTGTTTACTACAAATAATACTAAAAGCGAACATATTGAGAACATAAGGAAAAAATCTCGGAGATAAGGGTAACACAATATTAACTTCAACATCAAATGCTGTATATCCTTGTTTCCTAGATATTTTCTTACTTCGAGGAAACTTTTTTTCGTCTCATTTTTACACGGTAAAAGCATTCGGCTTAACACTTTAAAAAAAAATATGTACGGAAGTGTAACTCTCTAGGAACGTCGGTAAAGGAACTGGATCGCCTCGTAACTTATCCCCAGTTTCGAGTAATTTGATGACCCGACGGAGGTAGAAAATAACCCATGTGTTTTTGACGTTCTCAGTTTTTGAGCGTCGTTTTTTTTTGTTTTTTGTTTTTTTGTATTCTACCAAAGTGAAGTCGACGCTTATCTTTACCAGTGCGGCGGGAGAAAAATAAAATGCATTCCAAGTACTGTAAACGACTTATTTTTTGCGGGCTCAATATTTCGCGATTTAGGTCAAAGCTGAAGTTTTGGCATAATTCGCGGGTTCTAATTTTGGTGACGCGGTGGGATCTCAATATAGATTCCAATGTGTTTACATTTTACCGGAATTGTTCGCGGAACCTATTTTTCGCGAATTGTAGGCGATTCGCGAAGTCGCGAAAATTACGTCGTTTGCAGTCTATACAATAGTTGTTCCAAAAACTTCTCCCCGCCTCTCCATGCGCAGTCTGCTTTCTTTTCGATGCCGAAATCTGAACTATACAAAAAGTTAGTTCTGCCTCCACTACACAGCCATTTCTGGAGATTTATGGCAACTGTTCGTTTTTGCCTGAAAGATAAAACAAAACTTCGCTGGAAACTAACGATGGAAATAGGAAGCATAGATTAGGGCATTTTTTATTATTATTTTTAAAGAACATTTACACGCTCTATCTGCAGATAATCTTGGGACAACAGTCAGGGAAGTAGGACTTGTCAATCTTGACTTCACAACCAGGCCGTGGGCTTGGAACTGGGCCGCAACTGGAAGAGAAAATGCAATAGCAAAATTGCGTCACAAATTACGCCGCCAAACATCGTCTCTATATTTTAATGCGGCATTTAAAAGCAAAAATAGATAAACTTTTACCGATTACCTGCCTTACAATACAAATTTCTAAACCGTATACAACCGCTCAAGTGGATTTATCAAGTGGCTATTTACATCAAAGATTTTTTTTTCCTAAACCGTACCATTTCTATTTTTTTTTAAACTTCGGCTGGTCAGCGTAACATACTTCAGCGTGCAATCCACTTCACTATCCGATTTCTGCGGCGGAGTGCTCGAGCCCCAGCTGTGATGGTATCGGTGACGTACCTCTCGATGGTGACCTCCCTTTTGCGGATGTCGCAGGAGATTTGCTGGCAGGGCGTATGTCTCCTGACCCGACCGTGGGGAATCTCTCGTCCAGCGTACACGCATTTACCTGAATCAAAATGGTGCTAGTGAAATGAGGGGTTACTTACCAGACCACCGAAATTTCATTTCCTCTCGCGCAGCACGCTCGGAGGGCCAATCCCTGCGACTGTCACATTTCATACTTCATTTCAGAGCGAGTCTTTTTCATACTTTCTTTTTTGCCTGGTCACTTATTTATTGATTTTCCGAGAGCTCTGGGGGAAGTTAGATCCTCGTATATATACATTTTTTTTAATGTACGAAGGGAAACTAATTACAAGGTATTCGCGCTAGAAAAGACAAGCGCCTTCGCCTTCGTGCAGAGAGCGGGGAGAGCCGATCACTACGATTCACAAGAGTGGTTAGCCACCCGTCCCCGGGTTCTGGACACCCAGTAACCCCGATCTGGTGAAAAGTGAATTTTAAGTACGAATTTTAGAGCGTAATTTGAGGCTTGTCGTTTGCTGTCATTTCGTGGACTGGGCATACTCTGCGGGGAAGCACGTACGAGCACTTTTAGTGCTTTTTCAGAATTGGCTTTCAGGGCTTTCTATTTTACTCCCACTTTGGCTTCGGCGTCGCACACGTGTACCATTGTTAGACGAAAATAATGATGCATACTAATTGAAGTCATGAAGAACTGTCGTACACTCTGAGATATCTGGAGCGTCTACTTTCCCGCAAAACACTCGAGAGAGCCAATTGCTACAATCAGATCTCCGTGAAGGACAAGGCCAAAAACATGTTTAAACCTTAAAACCAGACTGCCATGTGACACAGAGCATCACGTAAGCACGCGGAAGGACATGCGCGGTGTCACATCGCAGACTTCACTTTTAGACTTAAACATATTTTCGCCTCGTCATTCTCCCTCCGTAAATTGAAAATTTCCGCTCTCCCAAGCACTTCGCCAGAAAGTAGACGCACCCCATTTCTTAGTGAGTATAGTCTTGGGCAGTTTTTGCAGTTCGTAGCTGCAAATTAGCTCTGGTATCCGAGTTTACCGTACGTGCTTCCGCAGGTAAGGAGACGAGTCCGACTTATGTGCCGGAGAGCATGTCCATCACGCCCAAAGCCCGCGGCACCCCATATACGCGCTGCGTTCACCGAGCCCGTTCCCACACGCCAGCAGCGAATACAAATGGAGGCGCTCGCATAAAACTTGTCACATTCAAGACACTCAAATGGGTGGCTTCGAGGCACTGTGTCGCAAAACAGAGCAGCAACAAAACAGGCTAACTATACAAGACGTTCAAACAAAGGCCTCGTTATGTGAAGCCTATGACACTGCGAGCCCAAGGCCAATACAAAACTGTGACGGAAACATGCAAGTCAACCTTTCGAAGGTAGTCTATGTATTTTTATGCAAGAGTCAGTATAACACTGACTCTTGCATAAAATGCATAGCCTCTCTTCGAAAGGTTGGCCATGTTTCCGCCACAGTTTTGTATTGGCCTCGGACTCGCAGTTTCATAGACCTGTGCTTTTCCAGATTAATGAACTTTCCCACCTGTGAACGTGTTTATATATAAGACCGGTTTTCTTGCGCTTCCGCCCAACGTTCCTCACACTTAAGGATAGTTCAGACATTCGCGTTTTAGTGTGACCAACTGCGTTACGGCCGCTCATGACTGCTTACAACGAGATGGTTGCTCCGACAGCCGAGGTTCACGCAACCCGTCCTAGTCAAACGCCATTATATGAACCAGCCTTTG